AGGTGGGCCGAAAGTGGAAAACAGGGTAGAAAAATCGTCAAAACTACAGAAAATACGAATTTCTTTGTTTTACGCTGTGAGAGATCCGAGAAGCACACAGCGAGATAAGAGATACTGTGAGTCGCGGAGAGGGTAAAAAGTCACGTCCAGACAGCAGAACAGGTCAACATTACAGATAAGATGTAGAACAGTGGGTGTGCCCTGATAGATTTGGTGGGATATGATCAAGGTCCTTAGCAATTTAGTGACGCGTTTCAAGGGGAAAGGTAGCGCGACCTCTGCAGTTGCAACATCTGGAACCCCTAGACTATGGAGTGACTTAGACAGTCAGGCTGAGCCTAAATCTTGCCTCCAACCATAAGTAATGTCAGTGATCGAAACTCCTCGTGGTTGGCCATAGGGCAATATATTATACAGTATTTAGGATAGTAAGACAGAAAGAAGGTCTCTGTTAATAACAAGTACTAGGGCCGGTCGGAAAAAAAACCCGTCCCGAAACTTTATGCGATTATGATAATAGCCAATTGGCCTTGAGATCGGTCTCATGCTCCTTCAGCAAATACCTCTCGACGCCACTGCTTCGGCAGCTTCTCATTTGCTCTCCTCTCAGCCTCTCAGAAGGACCCAAATTGGGAGGTGAAGAAGTTCTCGAAAGCTTTCTTAAACTCGTTCACAATCTTGAAATGTTTCCTTGCAGAATATCTGAAGGTGGCCAAAAATAGGTTAATCGGGTAGGGCGGGATCATAGAACCACCAGCCGATCATCCACCTCCAACAACCTGAGGCTCAACGAGTGAGGTCGTAGTGGAAATTGATGAGTAATGTATTTAGTTCAAGAAGTCGTTATCGCAGCGGCCAATGTTAAGCTTTTGAAGGACTTGGTTGACTATCAGCCGCCCCGATCACATTCATTACTAATCCCGGTCCATGACTGTGATCGGGGCTGGCTGATAGTCAGGTCCTTCAAAAACCTAACATTGGTCGCTGCGATAACGACTTCTTGAACTACATCTAAGCCTAATACACGCAGGGCACTCGAGACGAAGAGTTAGTTGGAGAAGGCAATCGACTATTACAGTAATTCTCAGCTACCGTCCTTTAGGAACAAGGGAATTGAGAAGCTGCCGTAGTGTCACCATCTACTATTAGTTGTAGGTGAGACCGCGTATATCGCTGCTCTCTAGACTGGATTCATACTGTTTACGAACGAGTCAGGGGGAGAATTTTTTGAACAGTCCGATACTTGAATCTTCAGATTCTAGTCCTATGCTCAATTTTTCAGGGCGGATTTCCCATTCGGAATAAGTAATAATCAATTCCTCGTAAAACGAACAAAGGCCTTTCCAACAACGGATAAATGACTACCTTTTCTCGTATTCAGGAAGCAATTTGTCTAGCCGACGAACGAAGTGAATTCAAATAAGACTATACCCACCACCAACCAACTCTCATCTTCTCCATCGAAAATACCAATGATTGCTGCGTTCTGAAAAAAAGTTAGCATGGATAACCGTCTCAAGGAAAGCGGTTTGCCCAAGCATCATGCGATTCAATCCATTTCATGGCGTTCTTTGTCAAATCACGCTCTCGGCGTAACTCGTCTGTGATTAGTGGTCTCACGCTAGCACCCAACTGCAGTGAGTGTTCTATCACCCGCAGACCGTGATCCAGGGAATCAACATGCAACCCCCTGACCTTTAGCAGCATAAAAAAATTCACTATGACGCCAAGACGCAACGTTGCTGCCTGCCCACTACACTGTACAACAAAGCATAAAAACGTAATAACTTCGTATAGCATACAGCATTTCGTGTATAGCCTCGAACGGAATCGACCGCGCATTATATAAGTATAGCGGCACTGAACGGCGTTCGGGCTTATCTATATATATGAGCCACCGGGATACTCAGCTAGTATTATTCTGCCTTACGACAGTTTCGCATGTTTTACAAGCTACTCGCCACATATAAAAATCTGTGGCGACAGTGTGTTAGTGCAGTGACAGCGCTTGAACCACCCGCGCAGTCGAGAATCAGATTCTGGTAATGTCTCCTGACCACGATGCCTCCCCTCTGGTCGACTATGATTACTAGCCCTTCTGTGAAAAAACAACTGACCTTACATCTGGCTTGTATCTCGAGTCATTGTGTCGGCAAAATCGCACTCGATATAACAATTACAAATTGATAATCGGGAAGATTAAAAGGATAAAAGACTAAAGCCTTTTGCCGTTGATCAATCCCTTTTTGGGATGCGGCACGCATTCTACTTCCATTTGTACATTCGCAGTGGCATTTGAATGCGATGTGGCCTATACAATGACTTGCGGGGGCCAGCCGATGTTCAAGTCAGTGTTTTTTTATCCTCCCAGACAAGTCTGGTACCAATTTACCGACCCTCGGAGGGATGGAAGGCTTGGTTGGGCGGGCGACTCACGACCCAGGATTTGGTCCCCGGACCGCTCGCGTGGTAAAGCGTGCCACTTCACTACACCGCTTCCGCGGGAAGATGTGGTAAATGGAAATCCATCCCAAAAAGGGAATGATCGCCAGCGAACGCTTTATCCTTTATCCTTCTCCTTTATAAAGAAGCTTACCTGATCAGTGATCTCACGAAAGACTTGATTGAAGAAGAGCTGCCAATCGAATTTGGCAGCTGCTTTTGCTTCATTTGCGCAGTATCTGGTAGGAACTCGGCAACTTCGTATTACGTTGTTCTACTGTTCATTGTATCTAAACTGCCAATTCACTTGGAATAAATAAAAACAAACTGACTTCTAAAAGTCCCCGACTAATCAAGCTGTGATTTTCAGGAGAAACATTGTGCGCTCAGAATATTGTCTATAACGACGCACAAGAAACAGAATAAAATAAATTATAGCATAAGGGAGCACACAATGCAATGTGCGACTTTGAACAAATCGGAATTGTAACCTGAGTGAAAGACTAGCCTAGAAACTGCATAACATCTTTTCTACAAGTTCGTTCCACCAATCGAAAAGAATTGAGAACCCTTACAACGCACCGTCACGATGGACCACTTCACGAATAATGGATGTAGTGAAGTGAAAGCTTGTGACAGTGGAAGCACCGGAGCCATACCACTCCTGGCCGCCATATCATAACAGGTCAACCGTCCGCTGTTTCCTGCTTCCCAATTCTACGACCCTCTCATTTTAAAGGGGCTGTGAATAACCCTCACAACTGTCACCGCTCAAGGATTTTCCCCAATACGAGCAGTCCTTCCATCTCCGTGCCGCAGCTGCTCAATCATCATTTTTTCTAATTATATTTGAATCGAGGGATTCTGAGACCAGTGCTGCGCCCCACCGCTCAGAGTGGGTAATATTATATAATCTAATGACGCGCATCTCTATTTATTATATATTTATTTATTTATTAATGCATAAACAGCTCAGCCCCATATAACATTGTCCAACTTCATACTAAGTAAGTGTCATATCAAGAATAGGATAAAAGAGGAAACAAATTGTTTCCAGTACTTAACTTAAAGCGAGAACTTGGCGATGATCTGTGTGCTATAGATGGATAGTGAGATGCCTGAATATGACCTATAGCGAAAAAAGCAAAGAAATCCGTCAAAAACGCGCAAAATGGGACCACTTCCTCTGCCCGTTGACCTCCGATAATGGACGAGTTGGCAACCAACTAAGAGGTCGTCGGCACTCGTTAAACCATAGCTGCCATCATACCACCAGAGATCATACCTTGATTGATATAGCATTCCATGAGAAAAAAATTGGATACGCGCTCGAAGTGGCATACCTTATCAGAATGATAATCGAACAGCGATCTGCTGAGGGGCGGAGCACAGGCGGAGGCGGAGCTCAGAAAGGATTGGCAGCCCCAGGGCGCTGCAACGAGCGCACCTTTAGTCACAAAAAGGCCACATCTCGATTCCTTTGGGCTCTAGCTACTGCTTGAAGTGCTGCTCGTTCTTCCATGCTGCACAGAAATTTTATCGTAATTTCTCGCTTTAAGCATACATCCTTCAAATTCATTCAAAGAGCGAGCGAAAGCGATACCCTTTCCTGTCACCGGATAATCATCCATACTCACAAATACCTCGCTCTGTTCATCTCCCTCTTCACACAACCCGCCGACCAACTCCCCACTATTAAAACTCACTATAGCTCCATCGTTGAGAACCGGCGCGCGCACGCTTGACCCTATGAATAATGCGGTCAATTCCTTAAAATAAGAGTCCATTCCTGCATGAGGTCGCATGCAGCAGGGAGTCTTCAAATACCACTCCTTCCCCTCCCTCTCTCACCCCTCACAGGTGACTTCCTATTGCTCAGAAATAACATGATATGTGCGTGTGCAACACTTACGCGACATCGAACTTATTTGTGGTGTCGAAAACGTACCCGATTTGAAATTCATCCTCCGCACTTTCCATAAGCAATTTCTGTGTAACAGAAAAAGGATTATTTTGAAGACTCTCCTCATGAAGAATGGAGTTCAGTTTTTTTACTCAATTCAAGAAGTTATATATTTATAAGAGTTCAAATGTATTTGCCAATAAATTGCGGTTCGCTTTATTTTTGCACTGCCTCTTGCGGAATAAAATTTTCATTTTTTTCGCATGGAAAAGGAATTGAACCGCACGGTATTGATTAAACCCGTTCTGTGACCCGCCGCACGCCCGAAATCCATCGCGAGTTCACTATGTCGAGTGCACGGTTCCATGATGCTTCTAGTCCTTCTTCGACAGGCTAACGATCATCTGTTCTCTGTTGACCCTGCCTTATGACCGCTGGTAACTGTCCGAACATCCCCGTCAACGATTTTGCGGCACATGCTTCACCCGCAAGGTCCCATCCTTTTACACCTTTACTCCTTCGCCTTGTACTCGTAGTTGTATGAGTCGTAGATCCATTCAACTACAGTAGGAATCATCCACGGTTTGATGATATTTAGTCATTACTATGGAACACCAGTTCTTTCCGTTTCTTGGAATTTCTTAAAAATTATTTTTCAAGTTGTAGTAAAACGAACATTAGCGAGAGCGGTTTCAAACTCAATGATCTCCTCGGCGTCTTGTGTGGCCGACTCAGCAGGCGCATGCAGAAGCACTAGCACGTCTCTGAAACGAACAATTGGTTGACCGCAGGGTGACACCAGGATGGCTAGAGTAAAACGAACCTGATCAATTGCAAATAGGCCAGTCGCTCTTCGTTTTCAGCTAAGACATAGAAGTCCCGCGCGAACAGATTAAGCGCTGGTTGATCAATCTGTAAAAGGCCATTTCTTCTCCGAACTGAATAACGTACATGCCTAAAGGAAATTTCCACCCTGAGCGAAGATCAAGGCTAAGCGAGGAGGTTATCCTTTCAAGTTTTTCTGATGGATTTCACTGCTTTTTTCGACATTGGCGTACCTTTGAGCACCCTGCTTCCCATTTAGATAACTCCAAAACTGTAATCGCTGCCTTTGACCGCGCCGTTCTAAAACCCATGCTGATCTGGGATTGCGTAGTCCCTCTTTTAGGGGTTATCACGTTAAGAAATT